AAAAAAAATTAGCAGTTTTGTTTTAGCGGAGGCCGACGGCAGACGGTCGCAGCTCCTCCACATCAGCGGGAGGGGGTGCTGATTCCTGAGGGGCCAAAGTGAGCAGAGGACAAGAAAACAGACCAGAGGAAAACCACTTTGGCAAAGGTCCCTTAGAGTTGTTTTTTAGAGTTAATTGTGGGAGGGGACACAGACGTAAAACGCTAACATTTAAACAGACACGTTAACATCTTCAGCTTCCGTGAATTTAAAAGCCTCTGATGGTGATCGACTTCCACTTGGAGAACAAGTGTGTAAAGCCAGCATGTCCCCGCAGCGCCGTCCTCGACTATTATCTCGTCTTCTGAGTCTCACACCAACTATACTTTTCTCATTGTCCTCGTTATGTCTCTGTTATAAAAACCCATTAATTGCTAGTTATTTCCCCAAATACAGTCAGTACATAAGACAGCGAGTATGGTTCGTGGGAAAGGTCGGTGTTCTGTCTTTGGTTCAGGGTTCATCCTTCCTCCTTTGTCCTCCATTCTCTGTCCGTCACAGGCAGATGCTTTGTGTGTTGAGTTTGCAGATATAACAAAATGTAGTGATAACATGGTGACTTTCTTCTTCTTCTCCCCTCCTCTTTCTCATACTCAGTGTGCATATACATATGTGTGTTTTTGTGGTGGATGTAGTGTGGATGTAGAGGATTCTGTATTTGTCTCAGCTCCACAGTTATATTTTTGTCCTTTGTGTGTTTTCCATAAGTTGCTTGTGTTTCCGCACGCGGAGCTTTGACTGTAACACCAGGTCGTCTGTCCTTTATGGAAAGGTTATGTTGGTGGTAAAGTCAAAGAAACGACAGAAACATTGGAGGTTTAAGAGTCACGCAGCAGAGCCAGACAAACTATCTGAGTGCTGTTCTCTCATGTCCTCACGGTCCTTGAGAAAGCATAAGAGAGGAGATGAATTAGTCCTGACTGTAGCAGAAAACATTTTAAAAACCAAACTCAACTATCACATCCAATCATCCACAATTTATTAACCAAACATGGTGGCCTGAGGTCAACAGCAGCAGAGGGAGTTTGGCTTCACTCTCGTGAACACACATGGCTTCTTGCCACTGCTGTTTGAGTGTTAGTGGTTCAACCTTTTGTTAATTTGCTGCAACCACAGAAACAGCGAGAGGAAAATGATTAAAGAGCTAATTTAACTATCTTGTTCCCTGAATTACACTTCTTCATCAGCAGTGAACAAACAGATCAATGAGCAGAAAGATTATGAAAGCAACATCAGCTCAAAAAATGATATGTTCTGGGAAATAAAAAATGTCTAAGATACTCGTCTGAAAGAAACCGTAAAAATATTTAGATCGTTAACAGAGTTGTTAACAAGTTAGCAGTTAAAAACAGATCGTCGGTCTATTTAATTTAGCAAAAACAAAAAAGTCTGTCTGTAAACGTACAACTGACAGTTTGGGTAATATGTGTTTTTAATGTTGATCATTGTGAACTAAAGGTCCGTGGAATATTGATTATTTTTAAGTTTTTCTTTATACAAGTTGCCAAACAGCCCAGAACTGTTTTCTATATCAAGTATAGAAACTGCCTCCTGGACAGAGAATGAATGTGTGTTTTGTAAACCTCGTTTTGTAAACCGCTCTTCTCGACTCTGTGTTTTAGTACCCTGTCTGGGTGCACGGTTATAGTAGTGCATGTGCTTGACATCAGCTGTGATGTTAACATGACCTCCTCCTTCTCCGTACTGTCACATCTTTTCATTCCATCTAATTATGATTTCTATTGTACCTACATAAAGACAAATGTTTACCTCACAACCTCATGGTGCGTCTCTTCCTGTATCCAAACTGGCCTCTAGCAGCAGCTCCTCCAGGTCCTGTCCACAGCTCACACTCACTACACGTCACACACAACACACATTATCAAAGAGACTTTTCACTCCAAAACAACTTTTCTTTTTTCCCCCCAACTTTTTATGCATCTAAAAACAATATCAGTAATTCAAGTGACTCACCGTGCTCAATCACACAGTTGCCAGGTTTGGGGTTCTCAGCGTCGAGAAGATGGAGGGAGAACTCTGACTTCAGGCCATTGGGTAGAGCTGAATTTACCTCCTCTCCTGGCTCCTCTCCGTCCAGAGCTTCGGCGAAACACTCGTCTGCAGAGCTCTCATCAGCTGAATCGTCCACTTTGACTGGGGAGACGGAGGCAGTCGTGGCAGAGTCTGGACTCTCTGAGGATTCTTCTGCTGGAAGATTAGTCTCCTGTATTTCACTCTGAGCGGCAGACGGATCTTGTTGATCAGTCAGGACAGAGAGAACCAACTCTACGCTCTGTTCATCTGCCTCTGTTTGCTGCTTTGGACTTGGTTCCTCTTGGTTTGGCTGGTTGTCCTCTTCCTCTGTTAAAGTGAGGTTTTTGATTTCTGACGGGCTGGCTGATGCCTCCTGTTTCTCCTCCTCTTCCTCTCTTTGGTGTGGTGACTGGGTCTCGTTTGACGTAGATGCTAGCTCATTCTGTAGCTGTTCAAGTGCAGGTGTTAAGGGTGGCGTGTCTACTCCAGGAACACTATTCTGGGTTTGACTTGGTTCATCTGACTGTTCTCCTGTGCAATCAGGGGACATCAGTTCTCTGCCATCTTCTTCCTTCTCCTCCTGTCCTTCTACAGAAGTGTTTTCAGGTTGGGGGCTTTGTGTGCTCTGTATTACGTCGTCAGTGAGCTGAACTGCTACAGCCTGTTCTGCTGAGGAGTCCAAGGGCAGAGCCGGTGCTTGTAGGCTTGGATCTGTGACTTTGGGGTCTAAAGTACTAGCTGTTACATCTTCTGTGGGGGGACATGTCGCCAGTGTCTCTAGTATGTGGGTCTGTGGAGTATTTAGTGTGGACTCCGATTGTGCTATAGACCTCTGCTCTGACACTTTACAGTCTGTTGACAGTGCGGGTGCAGGTGAGTGCTTCTTCACCTCCTCTTGTGTCTGCTGTGTTTGTGTAGGTGTTTGAGCAGCAGGAGGTGGCTGCGTCTGCTGTGTCATAGGATTCTTTGAGATATCTTTAGTTTGGTTGAGAGGTGCCAGTGAAGTTTTCTGGAGTTGCAACTGCTGCTGCTCGGGGGGGCTTTCCACCCGGGTAACCGTGAAGATCTTACGACCCCGGCCCGGGCTTGAGACTGATATACAGCGACCAGGAGATGGAGGAGTGCCAGGGGGAGCTGCGGATTCTGTGACGGTGATGCCGGGAATGACACTTTGTCCTCCTGCAGGTGAAGCAGACGGGGACGAGGACGTCCCAGAGGCACTGGGGGGGGGCTGCACAGCCCTCTGCTGGGTTTGAGGAGCAGTCTGGTTTGAGTTTGTGGAGCAGGAATTTGTTATCACCTCCTCATCCTCAGTGTCTGAATCAGACTCCACCTTCGTCTCAGAGCTTGCTCCAGACTGGCTGCTTCCCTGTTCTTCATTTCCTGTCGTTTCACTCTCCTCTACTTCTCTCTCTTTCCCCTCCTTGTCATCTTTCTCCTCTGATGCTGGTTCTTCCTCCTCCTCTTCTTCTCTGGTTCCATCCTCTGTTGCAATTTCAGCCATGGATGCTGACTGCCTCATCTTCTGCTCGGTTTCCTCCTTCTCTTTGGCCAGGATGAAGTTCCTCTTGCAACCATTCTGGATCTCAGCTAGCAGCCCACGCTGGGTCTCAATAAAGCTCTTCACCTGAGAGACAAAAAATATTTCTTAAACATTTCACATAAACCACGAGAATATCACAAGAAATATAAATAAATCAGGCTGATGGTTTAGTTTGTGACATTATCTTTCTTTATAATAGCAATTTTCTAAGAGGATCTTCGTTGTAGCTACCCATTTCCTGTCATCTGTCTACTTCAATCAATACATTTTTATTAAAAAAGGCAGAATATTTCCTGGAACTGTTGGAAACTGTTGTTTTTAATCAAATGTTATTCAAACAGAAGTCAATGGTGCTCATGTTGGGGATTAACATCAGCTAAGGATTTGGTGTTCTAGTTAGTATTTGCAGGAGCAGGAAGGAGGTGGGAGTGGCTAATAATAAACTACAGTTCATCACAAAGAAGGAACACATCACCCCGTGAAACGGTGTGAATGGCTGATTTGCTCTTAATAGTTATTGTAAAATAGAGCTCTTTGGTACAGATGAATAAACGCCATTCATTTACAGATTCATAGACAATACTTAAAAGCATCACTTCATTGTTGGTTTTTTGTCTTTTCATGGGATATTTTGATGATGAGAAAAATATAGAAAATTTCTAGATTTATTCCTTAAGCCCTAAATTCCACATCTATGTGGAAGAGTCAGGTCGACTGACATCGAGCCCATGAGGCCATCAGGCTACCTTTGTGCAGCCCAGGATCTATCACTCGGACCATAAGTGCTGACAAACATATGTGAACAGACACCCAGCGGAGGATAGACACAAATACATGAACATTTGTTTAGAATATATCTGGTCCTCGACCTCTATCTTCTACCCCTATCTTCATGCTCACAGTTTCTCTCTTGGGCTCCCGGTCGAGATCGAGACGCAGCAGAGAGGTGTTGACCTTCAGGGCGAGTGACAGGGCCATCAGTCCACCTGTCTTGATCTCATTCTCCCGAAGGTCCAGGCGCAGCAGTCTGGGGCTCTCAGCGATAAATTCAGCCACCGCCACCGCTCCTACAGCATAGATGGCAGAAAGAAATCACAAATGCAAGAAACAGCAAAAACTATGCACAAGAAACGAAAAAGGGGAGCACAGGTATTACTTCCCACCTTCGCAGGACAGTTTGGTGGAAGCAAGGCCCAGTCTGAGCACAGAGCGGTTGGCAATCAGTGCGTCTTTAAGCTTGTGGACCCCTTCATTACCCACCGAGTTATGGCCAAGGTTCAGAGTCTCCAGACTCTGGGTGCATGGCTGAGAGAAACAACAGAAGAACATGAAAACAAAGAAACACTTGTGTTCAATGTTAAAAATAATACAAAAGTTATTTCTTTACCAATGAGAGTGTAGTCATAAACGTCAGATCGCTGAACAAGCAGTTTTGGCTACATAAGAAATCTCTATTCCTCTGTCAATTTTGGTTTATTTGTTATCGTCATATGCCAGACATTACCATCTCATTGCATTAGGCCAACCAGTGACACTATTGTTATTTCCAGGGTCATAAATCAGTCGGAGGGACAGTCATGAGATGCACTCTATCAGTATAATTGGAGGGATTTCTACTTCAAAATCTTGCGGGCCTCAAACCATCACACACGTTTCTAAGAAGAGCTCAAACATGCAGGGCTTTATGTTCTAAAAGAAAAACACTCACATGCTTCTAAAAACAAGGGCTGTGTCATCATTCTTTATAACTAACGTGACGTGTTGACATTCTTTCTTTGTTTGTGCAAACTAGAATGAAATATAAAATTCAATTCTGGAAGTTTTAAAACGTCACTTAAAAACTGGGGCAAACAATAAGAAATAAAACAGAATACGACTGGAAATATCTAATTTAATCAATAATGTTATTTATGCCATGTTTATAGTTTTATTTATATGGCAAACATTACATACTAAACATTAAAAGCACAAAGATTTAAGGAGGCAGTAATGACTTTGCAGTGTCTAAATGTTAACACTGTCATACTATTCTCATACAACGATGTCCTGTGAGGAAAAGCAGAGCAAACTGATCTGAATTGTTGGTTCATGGAGCTAGAGGCAAGTGCAGAAAATTTCAGGTGTCGTAGCGAAGAGCATACAGATGATTGACACACATATGACGTCATCACACCTGCATACTTTGCTACTGATGATCTCAGTAATGCAACAGTCACTCCTGTGTTTACAATTCAGGTTGTGGTTTCTCCAGGGAAATGCAAATATTAGTCATTCATCCAACTATGCATAGAACAAACACTAAGGTATTCATCATATTTGTTTAAAGAGGATCCTGAAGATGCAGCTACAGGTGTGTACATATGCTGCTGCTGGTGAAAGGGCAGATTGATGAGTGGTTGGTAGGGAGGCACCGTGTGGAACTCGGCCCGTTCAACAGAACATGAAAATGCCTGTTGGCTCAGTTCTGGCTACAAAAACTGTGTTCTGAGTCACGCTGTCCTCTGCTGCTGCATGGAGCAGACATTTTCACTTTCGCATGTACTGATAACTAGTAAAGAGGAGACAGACTGTGTGGCTGGTGGGCAAGTTACATAATTGGTATGAGCCTGCAACCCCAGTGGCAAAATTATTACCTGTCATTGTTCCATCGACATTTACTTTTTCATAAGTAAACTCCAATAATCCTAAGAAGTCCTGGTCTGTTTCTGTGGCTTTTGAATGTGTCTGTGCTTGTACACCACATTAAAAATGTGTTTACCTTGCAAAATCTTTGTATTATCTTTTTTCCAGCACAACATTGCAGACAGACAATTCCCTTTTTAATTTTGAGATAGTATATTAACATACTGGACCAAAAAAACACAAGACACAGTTGGTGAATACGCCAGACTGCAGAGGGTCAAAGAAACAGACCTCAGACTTGGTAAAGATGTGGTATAGAGGAAATTTAGTAACAGGTAGAATGTAAAAATATGGACTTGAACAGCAGAGAGCTATTATGATCACTTCTCTGACAGAGTAATGAGCGGATAATTGAATTGTGCACAGACTGACAGCTTGTGTTTTCCTCTTAAAACCTCTGATAAGTGTGTGTGCAGTACGTGCGTGCATGCGTACCAGTGCAGCAGCTAGGTAGCCCATGCCATTGTGTGTGAGCTGATTGTTCCATAGCACCAAAGTGACAAGGCCTTTCCTCTGTTCTTTCAGTCCCTCACACACGTAGGCCAGACCTGAGATGACAGACACAGAAAACAAAAGCGTAAAAGTTAGTGTTTCTGCCTTGAATTTAAAAGTATCAGAAATGTTGCTAAATTAAAATGCTGATTTAGCAGCACCTGTTTATATTATCTACTTACTGTATTTTTTCTTTACGTTCTGTTGTCTATTTGCTGTTAAGCTGCCAGAGGATATAATTTGGTTAAAACTACAGTAAAAAGTGTTGATGCGGGAGAGAACATTAAATATTTGTTTAAATGGGAACATGAAAACAGGTTAAAATCACGGAAAAGTGGTCTCTTTGGGGTATAAAGCACACACAAACAGAACAAATTCTGTGTCATAGGTGTGATTCAGGAATAATTCTACCGCTGCCTTTTAAAGCATCATAAGAAGCAGAGCAAAACTAGATTTATCACCTCAGGGTTGTTGCCTCTGCAACAAGTCAAGCTGCAGATAAGTACAGTAGGTCACAATCTCCCCTGATGTTCCTGAGTTTTGTTGTTGACTAATGAATAATAATTAAGAGGATGTTTTGAGGATTGATTGTAATTTCTTACAAACAAACTTTTGTTTGATTAGATGAACAGCAATAACTTTTTAAATTTTACTGAAATCAAATCATCAAACTTCATAACACTGGGATAGAGAGGATAAATGAAGTGTATTTACATAGAGCTTTTCCAGCCTTATCAATGACTCGAGGAGCTTTACAGTCCAAGTCATTCACCCATTCATGCAGCGTTGCTAAACACAGCGCTGTGTCTCGATTCACTCTACACAGGCGTCAGGGCCACCTTAAAGTTCAGTATCTTGCCCAAGGACACATTGGAACGCAGACTGGAGAAGCCAGGGATTGAACGACCTCTTCTACCTTGTGAGCCACAGCTGCACAGATTTAAACAACTATTTGATCGGGCCTGGCTTGTCATACTAATACAACAATGATGTAAAAAGATGATAAAACTAATAATTGCACTATAACACATCTGTCCTGCTGCTGGTCAATATGCAAAAGGTATATTATGAAAATATAAAATTAAATTCCAGTTACTTTACTGGTTTGTACTTGGTAGCATGTATGAACGTTATGTACATACATGTATATATGCAGACGACTTAATGAGTATTCGATGTAACTTTGAACAATATGTGCATTGTTTAGTGTATATTCTATTCTTTGGTTTTTGTGCTGTATTACTTTTTCTCCAAAGGCATCACTAAACTCTTATCTGAGTTTGGTAAAAAAAAAGTATTGAGGTTCATGCTCGATAACAATTCTTTTAAACCAAACAATCCCCCCTTGAGAAAACACATGGGCTATTAAAACAGTCCTCTATTGTTACTGTTTGTGCTCCATCAGTGCTGCATACCAGAGTCTAGGATGTGGTTGTTACGCAGGTCCAGGATCTGGATGTTATAGTTGAACTTGAGCAGGTTGCCAAGTTGTGCTGAGTCCTGCAGGCCACTGAGCTTGTTGTCTGCCAGGTACAACTCCCGCAGATTCATGTTCATCTTCAGAGCCGTGGCTGAAGGTGAGGGAAAAGAGGGAGATGAGAAAAGCCACACTGGAAACAGGTCTGGAAAGAGAAAACCTTTTGTACAGCCCCCCCTCATCACCTCCCTGGTACTTTTTCTCTCTTACCCAGTAACATGAGCGGTCTGCCAGACAGGCCTGCATTCTCCAGGTGGAGAACTGCCAAGCTGCCACTGATCCTGAGTGCTCGTGCCACAAAGGGAGCCGAGTGGTCCAGCAGGGGTGTGTTACGTGCATCGAGATACTGCAGAGAGCTCGTCTGAGGGGGAAACACCAACAGAAATACTTTTAATTTGGTAGAAAGAAATAACATTACAATGAACATTTTAACACGACTGCTTTCAGACATGTTCTGAAATTTGGACATCTTCTGAAATGTTCCAGATGGGCTTAATGTGTGAAAGCAAAGCAGTTACTCAAGACAATTTCCAGATCCTTTTCTGCCTGCCCTCTGAATGTCCGGAGTACAAAACAGATGCAAAACTGGAAAAATACAAATATCTAAATATCCTGAAAGTGTTCAGACCAAGACCAAAAGTGTTCTAGACAATTTCCAGAGAAAACAGCTCAACCTGTGGACCTGAGGTAACACACATTTTCCACCTTTGCATCCTCTCGCTCTCTAGTTCGATACCATTACCCTTGTCATGTAACCTCCCAGCTGCATCTAACTCGATAAATAAAACTTCATCTTAAAATTACAAAAATGTTGTGAATAAACAATCGGGCCCAGATGAAAGTAATATCCTCTTCTTTTTTTTTTTCAAGTGATGGCTTTTTGTTTTAACAAGCTACAACACTAACAATCTACAGACTGGTATGAACATGTGTTTTTTATTCATCATCAGACACTCAGTGCTTGTAGACCCTGGAATGCCATTTAATTCAACCACTGATGTGTTGAATAAATTATCCTCTCACAAAGGCATAGTTCTGATTACAGTAGAACTGTGGCACTCAAAACATTCTGTAAACACAGTTATTAAATCATTAGTAAATGCTATTGAGCATTTCTTGTTTTTCCCTCTAGGATGATGAGTAATGAACCCAATCTTTAAAAAACTATTAAGAGGACCACATAATTAATAATAATGTAATTTGTGGTTTGGTGAAGAGATTAGTGTTGGTCCAGGAGCAGAGTGAACGTTGTACTAAATACCCACTAAATACCAACAAAATAAACTATGAAGAAAATAACACACAAAGAAACAATTTTCATTTCAGACTTTTCACAACTGTATTAAAATCTTTTTTTGTGAAGTGGTTTACTATTGATTCAAAGAACACTGTACAAATTAAATAGCAGCTGTCTGATCCATGTGTTTTTCACATATTCAGCTTGAGGTGATTAAGGTGATATATTCATGTGTTTGCCAGCCCATCTTTATTCTCAACAGTACCATGTGATGACTGACGTCAGAGAACGCCTCTAAGGGCAAGAGCATGACTTCAGATGTCTGAAAGTCGACTGAAAACAGCAGAGCTGCACAAAGCAACAATTGCAAAAATCTGTCATATTTGAGAACCTCGAGATTGAAAACAAACACACTCACCATCACACTCGTTTATTTTACAAATGCTTTTATAGTCCATCCTGTACATGATAATAACTAAATATCATGCTGATAAAAACATGAGGGATTGTAAAGTTTTATGCTATGTTATCTTTTATTTTTTTACTCTTGCAGTTATCAAATGTTAATAAACATTTGAACCATTAAAATATTTTTAAATCATCTTGTTTAGGGTTAGGGTACATTTTTAAAATTCAGTTAATTCATTGCACTTTACTCAACAATGCTATTTGCACTTATTGTGTACACAGTAACACAATTTAAGACTCCATTGTTTAGTTTAATGTTTCATGTCTGTCTATAAACATCTTGAAAACTATTTAGAGCAAAGAGATCTTACTTCAACACTTCTTGGTTTGTTGTGTATTTTAAATCCATGAAAAAAAATAAAATCTGTTTATTCCCACATTGTTCTTTTCCTCTCCAATAGAAATGTTATACATCGTAAAACAATGAGCTCTCACCTTTCGCATCATGTGAGCTGCTGCCTGCCATCCCCGCGTGCCAATGTGCTTGTTAAAGGAGATGTTGAGATGTGTGGCGGACTCATAATACTCGATCATGTCAAACAGAGCTGACGCACCCTGAAAAACCAGAAGAGGTGGAAAAGAAAGAAAAGACAAATACAACGTTGGTATTATAAAGCAGTCAAACACAGATCACAATGTTAAAAGTGTGAACCAGAGTTAGAGATGTTACAAAAAGCAGCTGTCGTTGCTGTGGTAACAGTCCCTCAGGACAGGTGAGACCTGCAGAGGTGTTTCCATGACGGCCTGAGGTGAGAGGTAAAGAGGCACCTCTTTTGGGTTACTGACGTATTCGAAGGGTCACAAGATGAATAGAGACAGGAAAATAGAATAGCATTCCATAAAGCGTATACCTCTGCCTCCTACACATGTCTGTCTCTCATAATGATGAT